TATCATCCATAACTACATGTACAAGAAAGTCATTTTTGATAAAAATTAAAATAACCATAAATACATAAAAAAATGCATATATTGTTGAAAATTCTTTTTCAACAATATAGCTATTTGTACTATGTTATAACACTTATTACCTAAACAATAATAATAATGAATAAACTTTTTTTAAACATTAAAGTATATTTAATCACATCTCCCTAATAGCTATTGTGATCTGTCAAGTTGCTTTATTTCCACTATCCTGATGACTGAATAGTAACAGAATGTAAAAAATGACTTGAGCATGGCAATAAAAAGGCACAAAGAAAAATGAGTTAAAAAAATAATGACAATGCTTTACCTAAGAAACTCAAACAAGGTTAAATAATTATGCATAGCAGAGGGTTATTTTTATCTTCAATGAAAGAGACACTTAGTCAAAGACTTAGATTCAACTTAGACAATGATCACAGTTAAAGGAGTGCTATTATTCCATTAGTTTCTAACAAGTATGCCCACTACAATTTTTAATCCAATGTTTCAACTTACATATTTTCATGTTATTTGAACTTTTGGAGATGAACTATTATCATTATTTCATGACTTATTCAAATGATTATCTTTATTTTGACCAATACATTTTAATCAATGTACTCTCTAGTTTTGTCAGTAGTTTTATTATGAAATGTTGTCATGATTCGATGAATTACACCAACTAGTTATTTTTGTATACACATTTTAATCACTATATTCAATCTTGTCCTCAGCCTCATTCTCATTATCTGAAGCAATGAGATGAATATTGAGATGAAGCATTGTCAATATTTCAAAAATTGTTCAGACTAGCATTCTCCATCTTTGTAGTTTTGATTATTACATTTCAATTGATGCAATCTCTGGCATTTCTAGAATTTAAATTTTGAGATGAAATATGAAGGTGAAAGAAAATACCCAACACAAATGGAAGATACTGCAGTGATCCCATCTTATCAGCAGTTTCACCTTCCATGGTTTCAGTGACCTATGATCAATCCTAGAAATAATTCATTTTTTATTTAATAATGGTCCCAAAACACAAAGCATCATAATAATGATGGTAATTCATGTATATCAAAGAAAAGTCATAAAACATTTCCTTTGAGTAAAAAGGCAAAAATTATTGACTTAATATAAAAAGAAAGATTTTGTATGCCAAGGTTGCTAAGATCTACAGTAAGAATGCATCTTCTATCTATTGCATAACTTATTACAGCCTATTGTCAATTTTACCCAAATTTTTGCAATAAGAAGTTATGATTATTTACATTATTTACAGTCAGATGATTAAAAGTATAGTTCTGGGAATTGAGTAGCATAGTAATTGTGAATTCAATCCCTGGGTTGGGCAATACAGACCAAAAAAAGATATCTGTAAACATAGCAGAACAATTTATCCCTATAGATTAAATAAAGGGGTCAGTTTGAAATTCCCTAAAGGATACTCAAATCAACAGACACCTGAAGAAGGCCAAAGGGCACAATAGCTGAAATGTTGTGAAAATAATAACAAAGATGAGGATTTTAGTCTGACTATATAATATTCTATTTTGTTATTATTACTATTGTCAATTGCTTATTGTACATCTTATCTTACTTATTATAAAACGCAGATTGTGTGTGTGTGTGTGTGTCTGTACATTTATATATTGGATGGATTTCCTACACTTTTCAACAGATTTCAACAAAACTTCACAAGACTTGGTTTAAAATTACCTTCATTTGGTGGTTCTAATCCGTAAAATTTGGAAAGACACAATAGTTTTTGCACAAAATCAATTTGAAAACACGATTAAGAGGCATTAATGAAAGGGGACAACTCACTTTCTTTATACTTATTATAAAACCCAGGTTGGTTGTTTGTGTGTGTGTGTGTGTGTGTTCGTTTATATATGGGATCGGATTTCCTACATTTTTCAACGGATTTCAACAAAACTTCACTTTTTTTTTTTTGGCAGATAATGTTTCTTATTGTCTTGTATACTTTTTTCTTTTATTTTTACATTCAGAATGCTTTAAAAATTCCATTTACAAGACAATTGTTTATAATAAAATTCTATTCAATCGGTAGACTCATAACGATTGAAAACAATGTTTTTGTTTGAGTTTGGGTTTGACTAATTCGTAAAAAAAACAAAAAACAACTAATTAAGACATGCGTGTCCGTCAAACTTTAACAATAATCTTTGTCAATTTTATTTTTCAGTCTTTATGATGGTCGATACTTGATCTATCTCTTACTGTTACATCCCCGGGCAACGCCGGGCTCTACTGCTAGTAATTTATAAATTAAGATTTATCATAAGTCTGTATAGAAAAAAATAGTATATACTGGGTTTAGTACAATCATTGTCTTCAGGCTTCTGCTGGGAAACATGGAACATAACCTGTGGATAAGGAAGGATCACTATATTATACAATGATTCATTTAAACCAGTTTTTTAGTTTTATCTCAACATTTTAGCCACACTACCTTCTGGTTTTGCTCAGGTGTCTATTTCAGTCAGGAACATAACCCTTTATTTGATCTACTGGGTATACTGTCCATGTTCTTATATTTGTCATATCTGGTCTCCTGTCAGGGAATTTCAAAACTTGTAACCATCAATTCTTAGAAAGTGAAAAAAAAATCAATATGATAAAAAAGAGAGGTGGATCATCATAAAAAAGAGAAAAAGGTAGATCACTAGGAGAAAAAAGAAAAAGAAAAGAGAGATAAATCATCATTAGAAAGAAAAAACATTACAAAAATGGTGGGCAGATCATTATGAGGAGTACAGAGGTAAACTGGCATAAGAAGAGAGGTATATCAACATCATAAGAAAGAGAGAAGGGGAGATCAGCATGTCAAAAAACAGAGGTAGTTCAGCATCATAAAGAGAGAAAACAGAGAGGAAGATGATGAAAAAAATGGGAGGTGAATCAACATAAGGAACAGTATAGAGGTAAATTGACATAAGAGAGGTAGAGCATTACCATAAGGAAGAGAAAAAAAGAAAATAAACTTGTCTGAAAAAAAAAAGAAAAAAGAAAAAAAAGAGAGATATCACGAAAGAATTGACAGTCCCAAGTTGTGAAAATTCTGAAGAAAGACAAAAGAATGAAAACAAAATAGCTCAGTGGATCAAAGAGAGTTTTGTTCAACATCTGCAGAAGGCTCTCAAATACAAAGGACACCTGAGAGTACAGTAGCTGAAACTTTATGATAAAAATCTTAATGATTAAAAAAAAAATGATCCAAATGACTATATATAACAGCAGTAATACTTTGTCTCAGGAATTCAAACAATAAAGAGGAGGTGGCTAGTCAAAAAGAAACCTAGAAAAGCCAATAGAATATTTTTGGTTTTCCACAACCAGTAAAAGTTTACTTATTATGAGGCAAATTAAAAACCTTCTAAGAGTAATGTATGTTCATATGCCGTCTGAGATTAGATCTACGTCCAAATGCAAAGTCACAGATCTCACACTGGTATGGCTTCTCATGGGTATGTGTTCGCATATGAAGATTGAGGTTAGATTTCCATGCAGTAGCATATTTACAAATACTACAGTGAAATGGTTTCTCATTGGTGTGTGCTTTCCTGTGAATTCTAAGATTTGATAAATGTGAAAAGGAAGCTTTGCAAAGTTCACACGGGAAGGGTTTCTCACCAGAATGCATGCTCGTGTGTGTTAGAAGATGTGATTTCTGCGTAAAGCTCATTTTACAAATTTCACAGCAGAATGGCTTCTCCCTGGTGTGTGTGCGCATATGCGTGTGGAGATGAGAATTCTGTGTAAATGCCATCATGCAAACTTCACACTGAAATGGCTTGTAGCCTGTATGTTTACTTATGTGTCTTTTGAGATCAGATTTCCTAGCTGTAGCATATTTGCAAAGATCGCAGTGGAATTGCTTCTCGCCTGAATGCATCTTCATGTGCTTTTTAAGGTTGGATGGGTGAGAAAATGAAGAATTACAGATTTCACAATTGAAGGGTTTCTCACCAGTGTGTGTTCGAACATGCCATTCAAGATGAGGTTTTTGGGCAGTTGCATAGCCACAGTTCTCACACTTGTATGGCTTATCTCCTCTATGTGTGTTAAAATGTCTGTCAAAAGCTGACTTCCATGTAGTTGAATATTCACAGATCTCACACTGGTAAGGTTTTTCATTCTGGTGAGTGTTCATGTGCCTCATCAGATCGGCTTTCCGTGCTGTAGCATACTCACAGAGTTCACAGTGAAAGGGCTTCTTGCCGATATGTATTTTCATGTGCATTTTAAGGTTGGATGATACTGAAAATTTGGAAAAACATATTTCACAACAAAAAGGTTTCTCGCCTGTATGTGTACATATGTGATTTCTGAGATCAGGACTATTTGAAAATGCTGAAGAGCAGAATTCACAAGCAAATGATTTGTCTGGTTTTACTGAAGTCATATCTCTGCATGGAAATTCCTTATGGAAGTGCTAGCCTAAAATAAATCACCATGAAAGTTTCCTTCCTTGGTGACATTTTTTTTTTCCTTGGTTTTTATATAAGGAAAATAGCTATATGTAACACTGACTCTAAAGCTATTATCTCTTCAGCCTAAAAATATTGTTAAAAAGTGGAAATAAACAATGTTATTAAATCCATAGACTAGACAGAATGCATGTTTATTTGCTGTAGGATTTTGTTTATTTTCTTAAGTAGTAGTTTTTTTGTTTTTTTTTAATTAATTTCTTCTTTTATTGAGCTGACTCAATAGAAACATTCTTCTGCTATACATCTGCATCTTCTGATCCTGATACATCCAAATGAAGTTGTGCAGTTGAAACTGTAAATAACAACATAAATATTTGCATTAATTTTCTGCAGAGATGAATATCTTTCACTTTTAATGGTGTTTATTTCATCTATTTACAAATTAGTCACTGAATTTCTAGACACTGAACTGGGCTCTTTTTATTTCCTAATAATACTCTTTTCATCTCCAAAAAGAAGGCTTACAGCCACATCACATTGAAACACTGATTCCCATACAATCACCAAAGTTAAGCAACATCAAGCCTGGTCAGTACCTTGATGGATGACCACTTGAGAATATCAGGTGCTGTAAGCTTGGATGTGCAGGTGATGTGATGGATAATTGCACAGAATTGTTAATTGGAGAGCCAAGTTCCAGTTGGGTTTGTTATATCTACTCACACACAAATATCCTTGGGGAAAAGTATGAATCCCTCTTCTCCCCACCCCCAGATATGGCTCAATAAGTAAGACTTGTATCACTAAATCATTATTATTTAAAAAAAAAATTCTTACAATTTAAAAATAATTTCTGGATTTAAGTAACCTGAGGTTAGATTAATAAACCATAGAAAACAAATCAATCCAAAATGAAACTGAGAACATAAATTTTTTCTTCTTGAACTTTCATGCCCTTTTCTCCATTCAACCTGTTATCTTGAATTAGTGGCTTGTCACTTTATTGAATGAAATAAGAAGCTATGGCTCTTCAATGAATAACTTGAAATTATTTTTGTAGCTTCCAATTGACATATAAAAGGAAAAAAAAAAAAAAGAAAGAAAAATCACAATAAATGTTTATAGAGTAGCCAATTGCACAAATTTTATCCTTACCTTTGAGCTTCAAATAGACAGGCCAGGATGATTATTGTTTTGGTAGTAAAATCCACCCAGAATATCCTTGTTCCAATCACTTCTGTTATTAAATATTCAGGAAATTCCAGCTACTACCTCTTAATTTAGACAGCAAACATTCTAGGACAAAATGTTTTGTTAGTGAAAATTTTTTTTTAAAAGTATAGTGACCCCTTCTTATTTCAACTAACCAAGTCCATTTAAAACTAAAGTGTAATTAAATGAGAACTCAAGTGCGTTATCTTGATTCTAATCCAGATTACTTGGCATGTTGTTGGTAAAATTATCAAACACAAATGGTTAAAAACAAAACAAGAACTATTTTATAGAATCACTAAGTGAATTAAAATTAAAAGCAAGTGATATGTAATATATGGTAACAGGACAAAATCCCAGCCTCTTATTCCAAAATGGACAAAATTCCAGTTTCATAAATAAAGATCTCTTAAATTTAACATTGAAAGTTTAAGGAACTTAATTCAGAAAATAATAATAATATCCAATATATACACTGTTTCAAGTGATCATTCATAATTATGTATTCATAACTAAAGCATAAATTCCTGAGCAAGAAATAAGTGTATATATTAAATATTGTATTTATTGTCCCAATTTAACATTAGAGTGTAATGTGGCTTCTTGCACTCATACAATAAAGATAAAATAACCAGATAATTGCACTCTACACAATAATTTCATGCACACTTTCAACACACACACACTAACCCCTGATTTTTAAAAATTTACTAAAAATCATGGAATTATCATATTTCATTTAAATTTTCAGCATTGAATGAAATTTTTATTAAATCTGTTTTTAAGTTTTGTGAAAGTATTTTTTTTCAGGTAAGTTACCTACCCCTTTACTTGTGTCTAATCTGTATTACTATTAGTGAACTTTGGATGTTCCTAATTTTTACATTTTTATAAAATGAAATCACTGAAGGCATTAAAAAATAATATTGAATGTGAATATAGAATCGTCCATATTTCATACTCCCCTCAGAGATAAAATACGCTCTTCCATCAGAATAAGTTTTAACCAACCAACACATTGCATTGCAAATCTCGACTTTCTATTGGTAGAGACATGTAACAATTGTCGAAAAACTGTTTTTGCGCGAGTTCGCTGGAGCCTATTTTGGTTTCCAGAAACAAATAAAAAGGACCATCTCGACCCAATTCACCAGTCAGTTTAATCTGAAAAGTGAGTTTGATCCTTACTGGGTGCCCCATGCTTTCGGCCTTGTGCCACATCTAAGCTACGCTTGGAAAATCTTTGAGTCAGTCGACTGGCTGATTGTTTGAACTCTCTGCCTTCGGGTGAGGAGGAACCTGAAGGAGGCTATGCCGAAGGGTGGATTCTCTTTCGGGGAGGTAAACCGGCCCTGAACCCGTTTATACGGGTTCAATGGGCTTATTTTTGGGCCGAGCCCATGGGCTCGGAGAACCCACAATAAATAACCGACCTTGTGTCACATGCTGCCCCAATTGGGGGGGGGGTACTGAATATCGTCAGTTTAATTTGAATTATGTTAATATTTTAGTTTATTATTGGGTTCATCTTCCTTCCCTCTCATTTTTTCATCATAGAATTTTTTTAAGTATTTATTATTATCATCAAACTTTTATGGCATGGGGCGCGTTTTGTAGCACCCTCTTGTGAGGATGCGGTATTATGGTGTATGGAGGATTGAATGGTGACGGACGAGTTCTTTTGGTGAATGTGGAAATTGTAATGTATGAAAGGGTCGTGAATTCGATTAGCTAGGTATAAGATAGTTAGTGATGACCAGCCTCTACCCCCCTTTTTTGGACTTGTACCGCAATTGTAGAGTCAGTCAATAAACTTCAGAGAGATGCCACACAAATCCACGCGTGTCACTACTTTGACTTAAGATACTTTTCGCGCGTCATCTGCTGACTCAAACATCAACATAATCTCTCACATCTCACTTACAACTTTCTAAGAAAAGTGTTCTTACACACTAAACTAAAATAGAAATTGTATTTTAAAAACAAAGACAAACACAGAACAATCCAAGGTAAACAACTCTGGAGAATAAACCCTACTTTATTCACGCATACAAACTACACAAATTTCTGTATAAATAATATTTTCCATTTTTTTACTCTGTTTGACCAGTTCTTAAACACTTGAACAATTTTGAACTGTGAATCAATAAGAAACCCAATTTATCAATGGTCAATTTCTTACATTATCAAACTACAAGTTTTCAAATTGTATATTAATTGTACATAAATGCATGTTGTTTTATTGAAATCTCATAATCGGTGTTTCTTACTAAATTGCCTTGTGACTGATTCATTTTTGAATGTCTATTGTATATTGTTGCGGATTAATATGGTGAACATGCCCGTAAATTTTTAAAAACTAACCATCTTTTAATATAAAAACCTTCTGATACCAAATTCAAATTCATAGCAATCCCAACATGAACACATTGAAAATATGGTCTGAAATCTTAAATTAAAAAATTATTTTTTTGTGGTGATTTACTGTACTGATAACTAATTTTAATAAAATATACTCTATTTTTTTGTCTCCACAGGAAAACAATACAGTGTACAGTTATATTCGGACTATCTTTGTTGTTGTTATCACAATGTTTCGGTTGATCATTCTCCGAATTACTTCGGAGGTGTGCTTGTCGAACTCTTTGCCTCCGTGTAGAGAGGAACCCTGACGAAGCTGTACCAAAGAGCAGAGTCTCGGCTGGGGTGGTGACAGCTACGGGGTCTAGGGGATATTTTTTGCCTGAGCCTACCGGCTCGGATACCCCACAATAAACTCGGCCTTCTGCCACATCCGACCGCGTGGGGCGGTTAGTGAATATCAACACAATGTTTCGGTTGATGTACCCTCCAGTTTTCGATATACACATGATGAATGCCGGAGGGCACAACGGACGAAACATTGTGATCAGATAACAAAAACAAAGATAAGGACAATAATAGTCCGAATAAGTAAATAATGATAACTTCTCATCCCAGAAATTCTTTGATGCATATTTGTTTGTGAAAAATTATCAAGAATTTTTAAGAGTACAGTTTTGTTTTCAAAACTATCATAGTCATAGTTGATAAAGCTGATAAAATAAACTAAAGATGTTTGAAGAATCAAAAAAATATAAACTTTTCTTTATGCTATTTTAATTTTTTGAATGTGAACATTGAAAAATTACTTTTACTTTTTTTAATAATGCTTAAATAATCTTTTTGATGTCATTAAAAAGATAAAAATATCACTTGATTAAGGAATTGTAAACTAACTGAAAAAATATTTCCATAAAGTTTTGTAATTTATCGGCTTCCAATATACTTTTTTTCTATGGCATGAATTTCTATGTAGAAGCGAAATTGTAAGATTACAATTGAACGTGTTGACAAGTGAAGAGTAAGACTTACCTTGTTGAGGAAAATGTATTTTTTTTGTTATATTTTTTGCAAAAAGCAACTATTTTTACAAACTATTAATTAGAGTTTGCAAAAATAGTAGCTCTCAAAATCAATTAAAAATAGAATCTATTTTAAATGAATCGTGAAAGTTACTATTTTTCTTTTAAACAAATATTTGGAACATATACTGGATATTTTATTTTTAAATTCTTTTTTTGTCGGCATCCATCAAATTTCCTCCTCAAAACTGTGGACGGAAGGGGTGTTTTCAATTATTTTTTAGTTTAAAAATGTCTAAAATCTTTATTTCAGGACGTAAATAATAATTTTTCTTTTTTTAGAATTAACCATTATTTTCAAATAAAATCATAATTTAATTTCAAAGATGACACTTTGACTTAGAGTTTTTAAAAGGGGGTTTTCAGCATTTTCTTTTTTCTTTTTAGAAAGTCCGTGGAGGTACCGAAAAAAATGAAAAGTTTCTATTATGGAAATATGTCGAAGTTGAATTATTTTTCCCCGGCATGAAGAAACGTTGTTTAATAAACTTGCAAATCGTGGCAACTTAAAATTTAATATTGCAATTATAAAAAAATTAGAGAGAAAAAAGAAAATTAGATCGCATCGCATGTTAAGATACCTCTTTCTTTCGGACATTCATGACGAAATAATTATCTTTCTTAAAACAAAATAAATCAATCTGCGATTTAAAAAAATACACACCTTCGTAAAATAATGTAATACCGCTTTTGAAAGAAAAACAGGAAATAGACGGTGTAGAACGAGATTTGTCTCCTTATATTTTAATCTTTTGCATACTTCTTCAACAAAATGACGCAAAGTAGTATTGATTATTTGTTACGGGGAAACAATCAAGAGCAACGGTTTCCTCTCTTTGAGGTCCTACATTTTCTCAATTCTTCCCCAATTTTAAAATATCATCTTATAATGTAATTACGTGGAGGTACTGAAAAATTCCTTTTTTAAAAAATGAAAAAATCCAATGTTTGGTCATTTTTTGGTAAATTTTCGTTGTATA